AAATTTACACCATTGCCAGGAAAGTAATTAAATTCTTCATATGGTAAGTCATCATAATCAAGTGGAATTAATAAGGCTGTATTCTGAATTTTTTGATCGTCATTTGAATTATTATATGCCTTTATTCCTTCACGGCTTCTGTGTCCAAAAAATTCTAATCATTCATCTTCTGGAATGTTTAAATCTTTAAGTCTCTGAATTGCTGTCTTATGTAATGAATGATTAGTAATTTTGCGTCCATTATCTAAATTGAATTTAGTCAGATCAGCAATTTGTGACATCATTGTTCCTAATTTTTTTTCACCCATAGGACTAGTTTTGAACCATACATCCTTTTGTAAATTTTGTGCAGTATATCGAGAATAAAGTGATATTAATATATTAATATGTATATATTAAATATGAATAAACATATGTATGTATTTATATACGTACCTTTTTTGGCTCTACTGGTTTCCAAGAATAGTGCATCATCGGCATTAAGAGGACAGAGAGAGATCATTTTTAAAATATTATAAACAGGTTTGAAACAATTATTTAGATTGTCAGAAGTGATTGGTAATTTTCTTGTAGCTGATTTTCCATATTTATTACGTTTCAAGGCATCTCGTTGGTTATTTTTTTCATGTGTAAGAACAAGAAACAATCCACCATAAGGTTGGCAGCTTATATCATTCACTTTTAATTTAGCAGTATCACCACCTTGCAAACCGCAAAGTAGTGAAAGCCAAAAAAACACACGTTATACCAAACTTTCATTATCATTTCCAGACATAGATTCATGATCTAAAACTTGAAAAATTTCATCCACCCTAAGAGCAGCAGCTTGATTGATTTCTCCTAATCCTTCTTTTTGTAGTTTTTTAATTTTACTATTCAAGATTCATAAGGCTTTTCCAAATTTGTAAGAGTCCCATATGTTACATGGCTTTATTGTTAAATGTTCTTTTAAATATCGTGCAAGAGAAGCATAACTATTGTGGATGCTTTCAGCTTTATATTCCTTCCTGTCTATTCATTTTAGCCACATGATAAATTTGCAGAGGAAGTCTTCGAGTTCAACAATTTCAGATATGCTTTCAAATAATTTTCCATAATCGGATATTTCTCTATATCTGTCGACTGCCCGTAACCATTTTGCCATACATTTATCTGTATTGTGTACTCGTGAAATTTTAAGTAGCTCTGAAATGTCTTCATCAGTTGGTAATTTATTATGTGACATTGAAATATTAAAGAGAGAGTTAAATCAAAACACAATTGCTCATTTTATCATTTATATATATTCATCATTTGAATTATCAGTTCTTATTATTTATTATTAAAAAAATCAAAACAAACTCATTCATTTTATCATTTATATATATATTCATCATCGAATTATCAGTTCTTATTATTTATTAATTAAAAAAGGTTTATTTGGGCAATAGTATAGTTCCATCAGTATATACGTCATACCTGCTAGATAACAAGAAAATATTTCATATTATGAAAACTAATAATTAAATTTGTATAGCCTAATAATATATTTATTATATTTTTTATTATATATTAATTATGTAATAATTATATTTTATAACCATATTTTTATCATATATTAAAAATAAAGTTATAATAAACTTATAAAATCATTTAAATATAATAATAATAGTATTAAAAATTTTATATTTTTTATTATATTGTTAAATATTATATAGATATAATATTAATATTTTGCAAAATTGAATGATTTTGTAAAGTAATTGCCAAATATGAGGTCAGGTTCTTGCACTGTTAACAATAGCTATAGCCTATTAGTATTTTATTAAACAAGCACAAATATATCTTAGATATATCTCTTTGTTTTCAAATTACTGAGAGGTAAGATAGAATAACAAAGCCAGCTTTCAATACAAGACAAGCAATAGTGAAACTTCTACTAATCAAAGGCCCTTAAATGCTTTACTAATTACATACTTAAAATTATATACTATCAACTCTCAAAATTGATATGCATAGTAAACAGAGTTGTATCAGTATTAAGAGGCTATCAAATTTAAACTATTATAAATAATTAGATTTATATATCAGAAAATACTTGGTAAATTAATATTTTATCAGTTTTGTTAGCTATTAATTTTGATAAGATTAATTTGAGAAGGTTTATAGTAGTTTATAATAGTTTAAATTTAATAATCTCAATATTAATACAAATATGTTCACTATATATATTAGTTTGGAGAGGTATAGAGTATTAGTCAAACTAACAAATATTTATTTGCTTTAAATAAAATATAATTAACAATTTAACCTATCTTTTTTAGAAAAAAATAAAATCTTAAAAGCAATAAAACTAGTGTTCTTAGGTTCAGTTTAGTTTATTTCAGGTTCAATAAACCTAAACTAAACCTGGACAAATACTACAAATTTTGCAAATCATTGATCCTAAACCTGAACTGAAATTTAAATTTATGAACCTGAACTGAACCTAAACTTAAAGTTTTAGTTCATAAACATGTTCAAATTTCATAAACATATTTAGATTTAGTAGTAGTTTAGTAACAAAATATAGTAAAAAATTTTTGTCTTAAGAGTGTAGTAACTTAGTAAAGTGGTGAGGTTATATACCACCAAATAGCAGATCTAGAGTTTGAATCTTATAGACAATGCTTTTGAAAAATAGCCCTGTGTTCAGTTAATGGCTATTAATAATTAGTTAGATCTAATAAGTAATCTTGGTTATACCATCTAGAATGGGAGCTTTGGCACAATAAATTCAAGAAACCAGAATAACTAAAAACCTATTTGGCATGTCCCAAGTTGGAAGGTAGTATAATCATCAATAGTGCATACAAAAGACCAAATTTGGAACTGGTGACTGAGACTGAAGAACAAAGTAACCAAGTTCTATGGTGGGGAACACACTAGCCAAACCACCAGGTTCATTAACCAGAAGAATAAACATATGCTTTAGAAGCATGTACTAAGGGGATAGAGACTATAAGGCACTTAGAGCCTAGGCAAACTAACCTTTTGGGTTGCTGGCTAGAAGTAAGAAAGAGATTAGTAAAGAATTCAAAAAAAAAGAAAAGTCAAAATATATGTATTGGGTTGTGTGAACCTTACAAGAGCAAGGATTAAGTAACGATAGAAGTGAATAACTCTCAAGTACATGGGTAAAGCTATGGTATAAGTTACTGAAGTCTAGATAGTTGCCTGTATATAGGATACATACTAATTTAGCAGTATTTGCCTCTGAGGATAAATTAGTTCTAAGGTAATATACAAGTTATTATTAGAAATTCTCCACTTGTAGAAGTAGGAAATATAATTAGAGAGTTTAAATAGATAACTCTATAGTTTGGGTTGCAGGTATAATAGCTAGTATAGAACCCTTAAGCAGACTACTTAAATTAAACACCAAAAGTGTATGTATAGCTAGTTGTATTCTCATTGTAATTTTGAAATATTAGCATTCTTAATAAAACAATCAGCTGCCAATATAACCAAAAGAGGCTACCTTAAAAAAAATATATATATATATTTTTTTTGTCTTTAGAATTTTCAAATTTGGAATTTTTTAAAGAAGTTTTTTTTCTTTACTAAGTAAACTAATTTTTAACTTCTAAAAAAAGTTGTAGAGGAATATCTTATGAACAGAATGGTAATTAAATCATTAAAATCAGCTCAATATATTGCAAAATATAAGTATTTTAGTTTTTGTGACTATATATTTTCTTCTTTATATAAATAAAGAAAAAAACAAATAGCTATTAAAAGAAAATTACTTATATCTTATGATTTATTAAGCTGATTTTAATGGTTTAACTACTATTTTGCTTACAAGACACCTTTACAACTTTGATTAGAAGTTAAAAAAAAATTTACTTAGTAAAAATTTAAAATCAATAATATTTTGTATAATTTTATTAATAAAATTATAAAATATAGTTGTGATTTTTGAATCTGTATCCAGTTTTTTTGATAATCATGCATGATTTGTGTATAATATCTATATGTAATATCCAAATATGATCACTGGATAAGAGAATGTTTGATTAATTTCTACAGATATATCTATATTTACTATACTTACATATTGTACAGTACTATATTATATTATACTGTATTTGCAATACTAGTTTCACACACTGTATAGTGCTGTCTATAGTACTGAGATAATATTTAACTACAAATCCTCATAAACTATGCATGCATATATGTATATATGTAAGTCACAAATATTAAGTATAAATATAATCCAGTATAAATTAAAACTTGGTACAAATTTTACAAGTATATACGTACTATGCCTAAAAGTTTATTTCTTTTATTAATTAAATAATAGAACCATTTTCTAGTTTGCAAGATAAATAAAGAATAAGACACCTCTTAAAAAAAATTCTACATTGGAACTTTATTTATAATTCAATTAATAAATACTTTTACTCCATAACTTATTGTTTTAGCCTATATAATGCAGTAATGTAGTATATATTTGATAATTGTAATGTAATATAATAAATTGATTGTATATTTAGCCAATATCATGTTAATTGTTTAAAATAATGTACATCTTTAAGAGTTTCTCTATAAGAATGATACTGTCAAAAATAAATAAATAAATATATTATTAGTACAATATGATATCAATATATATACCTCATTAAAAAGATATTTATAAGTACAATATCCGATAAAGTTGGTTTTAAAAGTGTAAATTTTAAATAGTATTGAAGTAAATTAATAAAAAAAAAGGATACAATAGTTGCCAGAATATAGAATTAACATGGATCTTTGCCCAGAATTGTATAAATATATATACAGTATACATTTTATAGAAAATTAGATGCATAGTAAAAACAGATTATTATCTGTTTTCTCTTAGTTCCTCACAAAAATAATTACCAATAAATTTAAAAAAAAAAGGTCACTTAAACATTACTCTAAAACATTGCCCTAACATATATATGATGCCTGCTAGTATTTCTTCAGTAATGACCCCTAGTGGTAGTTGTTTAACAATATGAATACTAATAAAATTCTGAATAAATTGGTTAGTATTGAAAAGATTGATATTATGTTTAGATTTTAGCTGTGTTAGTTTATCCATAATTATGGTTTGAAGTGTTGTACTATTATATTGGCAGGTAAGCCAGTGCT